CCTCATGCTGGGTCTTTGTCGCCTCATGACTCGACCCCTCGTGCTTGGGCTTTGGGCCCTCTTGCCTCATGCGTTGACCCCTCATGCTGGGGCTTGTACCCCGCATGCGTCGAACCCTCATGCTGGGGCTTTGGCCCCTCATGCGTTGACCCCTCATGCTGGCGCCTTTGTCCCGCTTAGCTCATGCGTTGACCCCTCATGCTGGGGCTTGTACCCCTCATGCGTCGACCCCTCATGCTGGGGCTTTTGCCCCTCATGGATTGACCCCTCATGCTGGCGCCTTGGTCCCGCTTAGCTCATGCGTCGACCCCTCATGCTGGGGCTTGTACCCCTCATGCGTTTACCCCTCATGCTGGGGCTTTGGCCCCTCACGCGTCGACCCCTCATGCTGGGGCTTTTGCCCCTCATGCGTCGACCCCTCATGCTGGCGCCTTGGTCCCGCTCAGCTCATGGGTTGACCCCTCACGCTGGGGCTTGCACCCCTCATGCGTTGACCACTCATGCTGGGACTTTGACCCCTCATGCGTCGACCCCTCATGCTGGGGCTTCGGCCCCTCTTACCTGGTGCGTTGACCCCTCTTGCTGGGGCTTGTCCCCCTCATGCGTTGACCCCTCATGCTGGGGCTTTGGCCCCTCATGCGTCGACCCCTCATGCTGGGGTTTTACCCCCCATGCGTTGACCCCTCATGCTGGAGCTTCGCCCCCTCGTCGTCGTCGTCGTCGTCGCCGCCGTGGCACCGATCCTCCTCCTCCTCCTCCTCCTCCTCCTCCTCCTCCTCCTCCTGCTCCTGCTCCTCTTCCTCCTGCTTCTGATCCTGCCCCTTCCCTCTCCATCTCCTCCTGCTGCTGCTGCTCCCCATCGCCTTTTTTCTCTTCCTCGTCCTCTCCTCCTCCTCCTCCTCCTCCTCCTCCTCCTCCTCCTCCTCCACGTATTTCCCTCGGGATTCGCCGGGAAGCTCAGGGGGTGCCCGCCCCGGGATTTGCCGGGAAGCCCGGGGGGCACCGCCCCAGCCCGCCCCGGGATTTGCCGGGAAGAAGGGGGGCCGGGCCCTCGCCGAGGGAGGCCTTCCATGCAACCCCGGGTTGCCGGGGTGCTGGGCCTGCCTGGCCATCGGATTTGCCGGGATGTCCAGGCATGTCGGCCCAACATGCCCGCGCACCCCTGCAACCCTGGGTTGCAGGTGTGCGCGGGCATCTTGGCCCAACATGCCCGCGCACACCTGCAACCCTGGGTTGCCGGGGTGCTCGGGCCTCCCTCGCGATCCCGAAGACGCGGTGGGCGGAGATGTCGGGTCGCCCAGGATGGCCCGTGCACCCCTGCAACCCTGGGTTGCAGGTGTGCGCGGGCATCTTGGCCCAACATGCTCGCGCACACCTGCAACCCTGGGTTGCCGGGGTGCTCGGGCCTCCCTCGCGGAGATGTCGGGTCGCCCAGGATGGCCCGAGCACCCCTGCAACCCTGGGTTGCCGGCGTGCTCGGGCATCTTGGCCCAACTTGCCCTCTGGCCTTGGTTCGAGGCTCTCTGGCTCGAGGATCGAGCCTCGAGGATCGAGGACCCAGCCTCGAGGATCGAGCCTCGAGGATCCAGGTTCGAGGATCTAGCCTCGAGGATCGACCCTCGACGACCGACGACGACGACGACGACGACGACGACGACGACGACGACGACGACGACGACGACGACGGACGACGACGACCGACGACGACGACCGACGACGACGACGACGGGAGGCGGAGTCGGGGGGGGGGGTGCCGCGAGGGACGGGAGGGAGGGGGTGAGCGGCGGGTGGGCGGGGGACCCGCGGGGGGCCGGGGGCGGGGGGGGGGAAGAGGACGGGGGGGGTTGCGCGCCCGAGGCGTCTTCGGAAGAAACGCGTTGTAACGGGCGACGCGCGCGGGTCACCCGTTACGGTTCTCTTGAGGCCGTTTTGGGGGCCTCCTATTGCTCCTTCGGGGCCCTCCTCGTCGCCACGGCATGGACGCAGCTCGAACAACTCGTGCGTTTGGACTCGGTAGGGGTCCAGCATGGGCCCCTTTTGGAGAAGCCTGAGCCTCGAGGAATCGAGCCTCGAGGATCGAGCATCGAGGGCCGAGGTTCGAGGATCGAGGTTCGAGGCTCTCTGGCCTTCGAGGCGCCCTCCGCGTCGCCACGGCATGGACGCACCTCGAACAACTGGTGCGTTTGGATCCCGGGAGGGGTCCTGGGGCCCGTCTTGAGGAGCCTCTAGCCTCGAGGATCGAGCCTCGAGGATCCAGGCTCGAGGCTCTCTGGCCTTGGTTCGAACCTCGAGGATCGAGCCTCGAGGATCGAGGATCCAGCCTCGAGGATCAAGCCTCGAGGATCCAGGTTCGAGGATCTAGCCTCGAGGATCGACCCTCGACGACCGACGACGACGACGACGACGACGACGACGACGACGACGACGACGACCGACGACGACGACGACGACGACGACGACGACGACGACGACGACGACGACGACCGACGACCGACGACGACGACCGACGACGACGACCGACGACGACCGACGACGACGACGAGCCCGAGGCGTCTTCGGAAGAAACGCGTTGTAACGGGTGACGCGCGCGGGTCACCCGTTACGGTTCTCTTGAAGCCGTTTTGGGGGCTTCCTATTGTTCCTTCGGGGCCCTCCTCGTCGCCACGGCATGGACGCAGCTCGAACAACTCGTGCGTTTGGACCTCGGGAGGGGTCCATGGGCCCTGTTTGAGGAGCCTCGAGCCTCGAGGATCGAGCATCGAGGGCCGAGGTTCGAGGATCGAGGTTCTCTGGCCTTCGAGGCGCCCTCCGCGTCGCCACGTCATGGACGCACCTAGCATGAGGGGTCAACCCATGAGCTGAGCGGGACCAAGGCGCCAGCATGAGGGGTCGACGCATGAGGGGCCAAAGCCCCAGCATGAGGGGTCAACGCATGAGGGGTGCAAGCCCCAGCATGAGGGTCAACGCATGAGCTAAGCGGGACCAAGGCGCCAGCATGAGGGGTCAACCCATGAGGGGCAAACGCCCCAGCATGAGGGGTCGACGCATGAGGGGGACAAGCCCCATCATGAGGGTCAGCGCATGAGCTAAGCGGGACACAGGCGCCAGCATGAGGGGTCAACGCATGAGGGGCCAAAGCCCCAGCATGAGGGTTCGACGCATGAGGGGTACAAACCCCAGCATGAGGGGTCAACGCATGAGGCAAGAGGGTCCAAAGCCCAAGCACGAGGGGTCGACTCACGAGGCGACAAAGCCCCAGCATGAGGGGTCGACGCATGATGGGTGCAAGCTCCAGCATGAGGGGTCAACCCATGAGGTAAGCGGAACCAAAGTGTACAAGCCCCAGCATGAGGGGTCAACCCATGAGGGGTATAACCCCCAGCACGAGGGGTCAAGGCACGGGGTAGTAGGGGCCGAAGCCTCAGCATGAGGGGTCCACGCATGAAGGGCCAAAGTCCCAGCATGAGGGGTCAACGCATGAGGGGTACGAACCCCAGCATGAGGGGCCAACGCATGAGGTAAGAGGGGCCAGAGCCCCAGCATGAGGGGTCGACGCATGAGGCGCCAAAGCCCCAGCATGATAGGTCGACGCATCAGGGGTCAAACTCCCAGCATGACATGAGAGGTCAACGCATGAGGTAAGAGGGGCCGAAGCCTTAGTACGAGTGGTCAACGCACGAGGGACTAGAGCCCCAGCATGAGGGGTCGACGCACGAGTTTTCCAAGCACCAGCTCCCCAATACCCCAAACCTCCCGACGCACGAAACCTCCAACAGACGTGAGCAGGGCATGCGAGCAGCAGCAACAGGAGCAGGATCGGGACCAGGAGAAGGAGCAGGATGAGCAGCATCAGGAGCAGGAGAAGCCGGAGGAATACGAGGAGGAGGAGGGAGGAGGACGAGGACGAGGAGGAGGGATGAGGAGCAGGAGGAAGAGGCGGAGGAGGAGGGGGAGGAGCAGGGGGGCAGGAGGATGAAGAGGAAGCGCAGCAGGAGCAGGAGCAAAGAGCAGGAGGAGGAGGAGAAAGAGGAGAAGCAGCAGCAGCAGCAGCAGCAGTAGCAGGACTCCTCCTCCGCATCATCATCCTCCTCTCCTCCTCCTCATCCTCCTCCTCTTCCTCCAACCCTGTTTCCCTCTCCCTTGCCTCCTCCTCCGCCTCCTCCTCCTGCTCCTGCCCCTCCTACTCCCTCCTCCTGCTCCTCCTCCCTCGCTCCCCCCCTCCCTCGCTCCATCCCTCCCTCCCTCCCTCCCTCCTGTCCCTCCCGCCCTCCTCCATCCTCCCAATTCCCTCCCTCCTCGCCGTCCCCGTCTATCTACTTCCCTCCTCCTCCTCCTCCTCCTCCTCCTCCTCCTCCTCGTCCTCCTCCTCCTCCTCCTCCTCCTCCTCCTCCTCCCTCCGCGATCCTACCTCCTCCCTCCGCGATCCTACCTCCTCCCGCTTCCCTCGTCCCTCCCCCTCCTCATTCCTCTCACTTCCGCCCCCCCTACCCCGCCTGGTAGGAGGAGGAGGAGGAAGAGGAGGAGGAGATGGAGGAGGAGGAAGAGGAGAAGGAGGAGGAGGAGGAGGAGGAGAAAGAGGAGGAGGAGGAGGAGGAGAAGCAGGAGCAGGAGGAGGATCGCTATGAAGCACCCGAATCTCTATGAAGCACCCGAATGCGTTGAGACTGGCTTCCTGGGGCCCCACTGGAGGCCCTCTTGGGGCGTCTCGGGGCGATCTTGGGGACCTGTACGGACGTCGTGGGCTCCGTGAACTTGAGGAAAGCGAATGCGTTGAAATTGCACGCTTTCGCTAAGGATTGGGGCGATTTTTGCTTCTGGGAGCCCTCTTGGACGTCTCTTCGAGGGGCTCGGAGGCCTCTAGGCCGTCTGGAAGCACGTCTGAAAGTCCCGAAACCGTCTCGGGGACGTCTTCGGCCCACATCGGCGCTCCCTGGAGGCATTCTGACGCGCGCGCTGGCCGCCCAGAGGCGCGCCGGGGCATGCCAAGGGCCCGCCGATATGCCGATTTCGCACACTTGAGGGCTTGCGCCGGCCATATAGGACAGATGTCGTTGGGTTCCAGCTTTACTTCCCGCATCTCGTTCAGCAGCGCAGGCGCCCGCTGCCACTGCTCGCCCTTCTTTCACGCGCTGATCCCAGCGCTTTAGCTGACTAGGGCTGACCAATGGACTCCGTCCACGACATCTTTCTGGAACGGTTCTTGGAGGAACGGCGGAGATTCTGCCGAAAATCTATAGACACGGTGGCGGCCGGGGCGGCGGCAGCGAGACCGCGCCTTCGTGTCCGAGCTCTGGCAGCGCTCCAGCAGCTTGGCCGTCGCGGGGCCGCCGTCGTCGCCGTCATCGTCGGCGTCGTTGTCGTCCCCGCCGCGAGGCCGCAATCGTACCCGTCGCAGTCGGCGGTGTCGTTCTCGTGGTGGTGGTGGTGGTGGTGGTGGTGGTGGTCGTCGTCGTGGGTTGTGGGCACCGGAAAGAAGCTGGCGACGTCGGTAGGACTGACCCGTGGACTCCGTCCACGAAATCTGCACGAACTGGCATCTGACTGTTGGGCCCGACCTCACATTCCGCGCATGCTACTGCGTGCTGCTGCTTGCTGCCGCATTTGCGTACTGTTGGTAGTGCTTGAGGCCGCTGCTGCGTGTGCTTGCTGCTTGTGGCTGCAGGTTGTTGCTGATGGCCAGTTCCGCCTTGGTGCGTACTTCTACCCGCTGCCTGCAGCTGCTTGCTGCTGCTGTGTGCCACCGCTGCTGCTGTCTGCTTCGTGCCCACGGAAGAGATCGATGCTGCCCCAGGGCACTTGGAATGTCGCACGGTGGACTGTGCATGGGGGCTCACTGTGGACGCGCAGGGAGCCGCGTACTTTTGGGCGCCGTCTCCGCTCCCCTCTGGGATCAGACTGTGTTGGGGACTGCGCTCCCTGGAGGTCTCTGGTGTATCTCGCCTCACTTTGGCGGCAGCGGCGAAGGGGGCCCTGGAGCTGGGAGGCAAAAGGGAAGAAGCGCGCATGTTGCTGTTCATCATTCGGCGCTCTTTCGCTGGCGCCCGCAACCACGGAGGAGGGCGAGGCTCCCTATGCGGCCACTGGTGACGGGCGCTTCCTTCTCCTTGGGGGCCGCTTGGGGGCCTCTCGGGGTTTCTTTTCAGCCTTCTGGGGGCCTTTTGGGGCCCCCTTGGACTATCTTGCGGCCTCGTGTGGGCCTCTGGGGGCCTTCTTGGGCCGTCTTGGGTGCCCCCTTGGGCCGTCTTGGGACCGACTGAGGCCGTATTGAACGCCTCTGGGGCCGGCTTGGGGCCATCTTGGGTCTGTTTTGGGCCGTCTTTGGCCGCTCTTGGCGCTGCCTTGGGCGACTCTTGGGCCGTCGTGGGCGCCTCAGGAGCTGTCCTGGGGCCGTCTTGGGCCGTCCTGGGGCCGTCTTGGGGCGCTTCTGATGCGTCCTGGGGCGATCTTGGGTGCGTGAATGAAAAGTACGGGAATTGTGAAAATGTACGTTTCCCCTAGGGTTTGAAACTATTTTGGCTTGTGCGGGCTCTCTTGGGACTCTTCTTGGAGCCCACTTAGAGCGTTTTGGGAGTCTATTGGGCCGTCTGGGGGCTATCAAGGGTGTCTGCCAGCGCTTTGGGACCGTCTCGGAAGCCCTCGTGGACCGCTCTTGGGGGTCCCCTGGGTCGTCTCAGAGCGCTCTTGGGCCTGCTGGAAGCGCGCCGCGGCCTGCTGGGGCTCTCAGAAGCCCGCAAGGGCCGCCGGGGCGCCGGAACCCCGCGCCCCGACCCCCGCCCCTCTCGTACGCGCGTATGCCTGCATGAATGTAAACCCGTGAATGGAATCCACGGTTTGCTGAACCTGGGACTCGCACGCCGTATGTTTATTCCACGGAGGAGAGCGTCGAACTCGAACAGCTCGTGGAGCTCGTTGAGGGGACCAGGGGGAGAGAAGTGCAGGCGGAGGACCTCGAAGCGCCTGAGCGTGCCGCCGCAGCGACTCTGTGGAGGAGGGGGCACGGTGGGTTTCTGTCGTGACTAGCTGCGCTGTTGCTCTTGACTCTTGACACCGCGTGAAACGCTCAACCCTGCACGATCGGCACCTCCGGAATCGCGAGATCGTTCAGCGTCGGCCGATTCTGCACCAGTGTCGGCGTTCAGCTCTTGATGCCCGTGCCGAGGCCGCCGCCGCCGACGTGACGCGAGTCTGCGCGCCCCTCCCGGCTGCTCGGTGGAGAAAGCCGAGAACCTCGCTCTCAGGTGGCGCGAGACGGGGCAGACGGCGGAGGGGAGCAACGGCACGAACAGGTGGCAGAAGGGAGCGAGCGATCCGGGCGGCGCAGAGGTGCGCTCCGTTTGCCTCGGGCGCGGCCCAACCGACCCCCTGCGTGGCGGGCGCTCCCGTGACGACCTCCCCGCTCGGGAGGCCCGCCTCCGGCTGCGCGCGTGCGAGGAGGCTGCCACGGGAGAGCGCTGGTCCGCTGGGGGTTGGCGGGGCCGTTCCTGAGCCGCGTCACGTCGGGCTGTGAGCGGGGCGCCCTGGTTCTCCACCACGACCGGGCACGAGCAATTACCCCGCCTGGACGTTCTTGCTGGGGCGCACGGCTCCACACGTGGCCCTGCATCGCCTCCTCCACACTCGGGGCCTCCTGGGGGCCTGCCTGGGGCCTCAGGGGCCACTCTTGGGACATTCGGGGCGTCTCTTTGGCCGTGTCGGTGGCATCCTGGGTCCTCCTGGGAGCCTATCTGGGGCCTCTCGAAGGCCTCTTGCGGTATATTTTGGGCGCCTCTGGGGCCGTTCCCAGGCTGTCCCCCAGAGCCCCTTCTGAAGGATAGCCAGGGAAGCTGATTCTCTTGCACAGGGTGTCTAGCCGACCACTTTCGTTTGGCACTCTCGCACAGCACCTGCGCCGCGTCACCCCCTCCCCCCAGCCAGCCCAGCTCTCCCTTGCCCACCAGCCAGCGCACCCCCTCCGCCCCGACCACCTTCCTTCGGCACGCACGCACGGCACCGGCACCGAGCCACCCCTCTCACCCAACCAACCCAGCTCACCCTCGCCCACCAGCCAGCACGTCCCCTCCGCCCCGACCACTTTCTGTCGGCACGCACGCACAGCACTGGCGCCGCGCCTCCCCCCCAGCCAACCCAGCTCTCCCTCGCCCCCCACCCATCCCGCGCGTCAACTCCGCCACGACCAATTGTTCCGGCACGCACTCACGGCACCGGCACCGCCCGCATCCCACCCGGCCAGCCCACCTCCCCCTCCCACCAGCCCCCTTCGCCACTTGATTTCGGCACGCGCGCAGGGCACTGGCGCCGCGCCACCCCTCCCCCCCAGCCAGCCCAACTCCCCCTCGCCCCCCAGCCGGCGCGCCCCCTCAGCCCCGACCACTTTCTTTTCGGCACGCGCGCACGGCACCAGCACCGCCTTCCTCCACAGCCAGCCCAGCCTGGAGGCTTCCAAAACCCATCGGAAGCGAAAAAGTGTCGAGGAACAACTTGTTCAATTTCCCTAGGCTTTCGAAGGATTTGGGATTCTGGGGGAAGGGGTCCAAAAGGTGCTCCGAAAGCACTTTCTGGGGCCAACTTCAACCGGCTTGAGCTCTCTGAGCGATCTTGGAGGCCATCTGGGAGCACCTCCTCCTCCTCCTCCTCCACCTCCTCCTCCTCCTCCTCCTCCTCCTCCGCCCTCCTCCTCCTCCTCCTCCTCCTCCTCCTCCTCCTCCTCCTCCTCCGCCCCCCCACTCCTTTGGGTACAAGAGCCATGGCACGCGTGCCATGTGTTTGGGATTCACCTTGGAGCCTTCCTGGGGCGTCCTTGGGGCTCTCAAGGGCTCAGTGGGGACTCTCTCAGGGCAGTCGTGGAGGGCACATGGGGGCCTGATGAGCAGTGATGGGCCGTCTCAGGTAAGGGCTCTCTTGGGAGCCTGATGGGCAGTGATGGGGCGATCTAGACGACGCTGGGAGCCGTCTGGACCCGTTCTCAAGGCGAAATGAAGAGGACATGAAAATCCATCATACAAACTATTGAAAATCTAAAATTTGGGCGTCGTGGGGCAGTCATCGGGGTCCTCTTGGGCCGTCTTGGGAGGCCTCCTGGCATGTCTTGTGACCGCAGTGGGACATTTTGAGGCTGGCTTCGGGCTCTTTGTTGCTCCCACATCTCGCTGAGCAACATGCATGACCCGCTGCCACTGCTTGCTAGTCTCGCCCGCGTTGGGCTCCGATTTCGGCTTCCGCATCTCGCTGAGCAGTAAGCAACGGGGGCTGCTGCCACTGATCAACCTTCCAGCGCGCGCTGGTCCCGCCGCTGCAGCCGACGATGATAATGGAACCCACCTTCGCTTGCCAAATCTCGCTGAGCCGCGCCAGGGCACGCTGTCATTGCTCTGCCCGCTCCGCTTGTGCAAACTGAACACGTACGAGGTCACGAGTAGATTGGCCCGTGGAGCCCGCAGGAAACGCACATGCTGCGCTGGAGGCGGAGGCCTGGTCGACCCTCAGGAGCGACCCCAGCTTGCTCTAGGGAGGAGCCCGAACCCGCCGACGCCAAAACAATTGGCACAACTGACTTTCTCACACGCGCTGACAACCGTGCTGTAGCTGGTGACCCCGGGCACCAACTTCGCCTCCCACATATGACTGAGCAGCGACACGGCCATCTGCCACTGCATACTTTTGTCGCACGCGATGATGCCGGCGTTGTAGCTGATGACGGTGGGTTCCACCGTTCCCTCCCACATATCGCTGAGCAGCGAGAGGGCCCGCTGCCACTTATCGCATTTCTCGCACGCGCTGATCCCAGCGCTGTAGCTGATGACGGTGGGTTCCAGCTTCGCCTCCAGCATTTCGCCGAGCAGCGCCAGTGCCCGCTGCCACTCCTCGCCCTTCTCGCACGCGCTGATCCCCGAGTTGTAGCTAACGACGTTGGGCTCCAGCTTCGCCTCCCGCACCTGGCTGAGCAGCGCCAGTGCCCGCTGCCACTGCTCGCCCTTCTCGCACGCGCTGATCCCAGCGCTGTAGCTGACTAGGGCTGACCCGTGGACTCCGTCCACGCAATCGTTCTGAAGCAGCTCTTGGTGGCACGGGGGGCGTGCTTCCGAAAGGTTATCAACATGGCGATGAAATGACCGCCTGGTCACCAGGCCGCCATGTTGATAGCCTTCGCGAGCACCCGTCCGGCACCTCACCGCCAGCAGCTGCTGCATCGCTTGCAGGGGCTGGCCGGCGCGGGCGACGGTGTCGACGACGACGGGGGTCTTTTCTGTAGGGTGATTGTGCATCTCGGATTCGGTTCGAACGCTCTTTTGCCCGAAGACAGCCTCCAGAGCCGAGAACGGAGAAGAAACTCCTGGAACTCCGAACCTGGAGCCTGAACAAGAACCGACGACGACGGCGACGGCGACGACGACGATGAAGACGGCGGCGACGTTGACGCCAGCGGCGGCGACTAGCGGCGACGACGGCGGCGTCGACGGCAACGAAGAGAACGGCGACGGCGGCGTCGAGGACAACCGCCCATTGGAGCCTCTCGTGTGCGTTTCTCTGACCACCCCAACTCTCGAAGGCATCGTTTCTGGATGGACTGGTGGGGATACGCAAGGCGTGAACATGCGGTCACTTGGTATAGAACCCGGGGGGTGGAAGGCTACCCTAGGGCATACCCAAGGCCCTAGGGTACCCTAGGGTAGGGCCTACCCACGGCCCTAGGGGAGGGTAGCCTTGGGTAGGACCTACCCCAGATCGTGCGGACAAGTTTGACGTACGCGTAGGGCGTAGGCGTAGGGTAGGCCTAGGGGTAGGCCTAGGGGTAGGCCTAGGGGAAGGGCCTGGGGTAGGCCTAGGAGAAGGGCCGAGGGGTACACCTAGGGTAGGCCTTGGGGAATGACCTGGGGGGTGACCAAAAGTCGGCCTAGGGAGAACCCTAAAGGGCGGGTCGGGTCAAGCGGGCGGACCCTGACGAGCGGGTCGGGTCGGGCGGGCGGTACAATCAAAGTGTGGGGCATACACGAGCGAGCGCGCGTGAACACTGACGGTCGAGTCGGGTCGGGCGGGCGGACCCTAACTGGCGGGTCGGGTTGGGCGGGCGGACCTTAGCGGGCGGGTCGGGTCGGGCGGGCGAAACATTGAGGTGTGGGGCGTGCGCGAGCGAACACGCGTGAACCCAAACTGGCGAGTCGGGTCGGCCGGGCGGACCCTAACGGGCGGCTCGGGTCGGGTCAGGCGGACCCTCGCGGGCGGGTCGGGCCGTCGGGCGGGCGGGACATTAAACTGCGGGGCGGACACGAGCGAACACGCGTGAAGCCTAACGGGCGAAGTGGGCCGGGCGGGCGGACCCCGACGGGCGGGTCGGGTCGGGCGGACGGGACATTGTGCGGGGCACACACGATCGAACACGCGTGAACCCTAACGGGCGGGTCGGGTCGGGCAGGCTGACCCTAGCGGGCGGGTCGGGCCGGGCGGGCGGATCCCAACGGGCGGGTCGGGTCGGGCGGGCGGACCCTGGCGGGCGGGTCGGGTCGGGCGGGCGGGCGGGTCGAGCGCGGGGCATGCGAGCGACCGCGCGCGAACCCTAGCGGGCGGGTCGGGCCGGGCGGGCGGACCCCAACACGCGGGAACTCTAACGGGCGGGTCGGGCCGGGCGGACGGACCCTGGCGGGCGGGTCGGGTCGGGTGGGCGGGACATTAAAGTGCGGGGCGTACACGAGCGAGCGCGCGTGAACTCGAACGGGCGGGTAAGGTCGGGCGGGCGGATCCTAACGGGCGGGTCGGGTCGGGCCGACGGACCCTGGCGGGCGGGTCGAGTCGGGCGGGCGAGACATTAACGTGCGGGGCGTGCACGAGCGACCACGCGTGAAACCTAACGGGCGAGTCGGGCCAGGCGGGCGGACCCCGACGGGCGGCTCGGGTCGTGCGGGCGGACCCTGGCGGGCGGGTCGGGTCGGGAGGGCGGATCATTAAAGTGCGGGGCCTACACGGGCGAGCCTGACACTTAGCGCCCCCAGATTGTCCAGGACTTTTCAAATGGACGCTCCTTGGAACCCCCATCGCCCTTGGAGCCGTTCGTGCTCGTTTCTCTTATCACCGCAACTCTCGAAGGCATCGTTCCTGGGTGGGCTGGTGGGGATGCGCGAGGCGTGAGCATTTGGTCATCTAGCGTCCCCAAACTTTCTCCGATGTTTCAAAGGACGTTTCTTGGCACCCTCTTCGCCCTGGGAGCCGTTCGTCTGCGTTTCAGTCGTCAATAATTCTCCAAGTGCCATTGATGGATGAGCTGGAAGAGATACGCGAGGCGTGAACATATGGTCACCGAGCGCCCCCAGATTTCCAAGATGTTTATGGGGACGCTGGTGGGTAACCCCCGTCGCCCTTGGAGCCGTTCAGCTCCACTTCTCGGATCGCCTCAGCTCTCGAAGGCATCGTTGTTGGCTGGGCAGGTGGGGATACGCCCAGCGTTCCAACATGTTCCGAGATCTGTCTGGGGGCGCAGTTTACCACCCCGCCAGCGTTGTCAAAAACTTGGGGTGGTCCTCCCCGGAAGCGCATAACGGGGGCACCAGGGCTACCCGCGTGGGATTTGCAGCTATTCGAATGGGTCCATGTTGACAAGCAAACAGGCACCTAGAGGCTGCGCAGGGGGCAAAGACAACAAGACGGTGGGAGACAAATAGCTGGCGACCCTGGCCCGCACCCCCCAAGGACCAGCGAGAACGGCGGAGGAGGACGTCGACGACAACGACGACTTTTTTTTCTACGTCCACGTTGAGGCTATGGGTGCACGGTGGTGGCGCGCGGCATGGCGTCGAATCTGGGTCGGAACAGTGGGCACTTCAGAGCTGTAATGATGTGCTGCTATCGACTTTGCCATTCGTGCGGGAACCTGCGGCTAGGGCGAGGCCAAAATCTCGCTGTGCGCATCGTGCTCCAAGCGCTCGAGCGGCTCCAGGCGGCCAGAGCGGAGACTCATACTTGCTATACTCGGGAGGGCAAGATCATTCTAATCGGCACCCAGAAAGTAGGCTGCTTCTGCTTCTTCTGCGTCATACGCATCTACTATGGGGGATGCGCTGGGGGCAGGCGCATCCTGCGGAGGTGGGGGGCGCGGCGAGGGGGGCGAACTGCGGGCCCCGCGGGCAGGCAGGACGGGGGGTGAACAGAGAGGCGGGGAGCTCGAGCGCACAGAGTGGACGGGGCGGCGAAGGGAGCTCACTCCGACAACGCGTCGACCCAGCACGACAGCTCCTCCTCCAACCACCCTGGCGGCGCCACTCCTGCGTGGAGGACTCCTGCTCCCTCCGCGCGAACTGCTTGAAGAACGATGTCTCTGAGCTCCCATCCGCGCATAGCGATGATGAGCTTGGTTTCGTCGGCCTCGCATCGCTTCTCCAGGCGGATGAGCGCCGCGGACTGCTCTAGCATCTTTTTCGTCGCTGTCTGCTCCGCGCCCTCGCCGCCGTTGGCCCTCGCCAAGCACTGCGCGATGTTCCCTCTAGCCAGGCTTCCGACGCCCGTCTGCGCGAGCGCTTCCAGGAAATAGACCGCGAGACCTGCCGCCGGAGCGCCGAGATTATGGGGGGCCGCCGCCGCGTCGCCGGAGCTGCGCAGCGTCTCCACCTGGTTACGAAAGGCCCCAACCCCGTCGTCGATCCCCACTATCACCTTGTGCGCCGTCGGCTAGATGATCGCGACTATGGTCGCGGCCGTCGTCATGCGTGTCCGATGCGATGTTTGGAGTATCAGCTTTGCCATTGTCAACAGCATGTTCGCGAGGTTTGTCCTTGGAGCCCCAAGTCTTGTCCGCGTGCTTGCCGCGGCGGCGGCGACCGCCGCCGCCTCGGCGGCGGCGGCGCGGCTCGCCCTGGCCCTCGCCCGCCATCGCCGCGTCCTCGCCCCTCTGGGCGGGGCGAACGCTGCCGCCCCCCGCCCTCTGCCTGGCCGCTGGCGGCCTGCCGCTTTCGTTGCTTGCGGAGCCACCGTTCCCAGACGCCGCCGACGCTGAAGGGGGGCGCCGCGCTGCCCCCCCTTCCGCTGGCATCCTGCGGCGACGAGGGGTCTGGGTTCGCAGCTGCGTCAGGCTCAGCAGGATGGGCAGGCGTCGAACTCGCGCGCGTCGAGACAGCGCGGCCAGGCGCCGCCTCCGAGGATGCCGAATGGGGTCGCTCTATCTAGAGCCCCCCTCTGTCCCAGGGGCCCCCCTGGGGCGAAGCCGCGCCGAGAGGTGTGCAGCGCTCGGAGGCGGGTGGGCGAGCAGCCGCCAGCTGGCCGCGCGCGGGCCCTGGCGCGCGTCGGCGGCGTCCGCGGGGGCCCGCGAGGTCGCCGAAGCTCTCGGAGTCGAAGAAGTGCACCCGATCGAAGCCGCCCCCGCGCGACCAAGCGCGGCGGCAGCAACTGGCGGCGCGACCCATGAGCTAAATGGTGGCGGAGGGGCGCGGGGCGCCGGGCGAGCTCGAAATAATGCCATCGTCTCGAGGGGGGCCTGGCACTGGTGATGAGACGAGACCTGGGAGAAAGGGCGCAACCTCACCTCGGTGGGCCCCCGCTCGCACCGACGCCTCGTTAGCTCAGGGATGCGCCGCGCCCGGGGCCAGGAACGCCGGTGCTGTCTAATAGTATGCTCTACGTGCTGGAATACGGCCCGACATTTTGGCACTGGTTGTCCAGGGCCACAGTGCTTAATATAGGGGGCCACCCGTGGCCTGGGGCCCGAGAGTGAACTTGATGGATAATAAGCTCGCGCGGGGAATCGAAACGCATGGAGCACCCTTCCAGATTATATACTTACCTCATCTCATCATCGTCGGAGTTGTCCACGATCTCAGCGCCCCCTGGGAC